CTCCCTGGGCCTAAAACACAGTGAAAGGATCCTCCAGATGTTTTGGGGGTGAGTGAATTAAGTACAAGAAAAAGAGAAAACTAGAGGGGCAGGAATGGGGAGGATGTAGCCTTCTAAGGATCTTGGGTGGCATGTGTAGCATCTGGACCTTCATACATTGTCCACTCCTGTTGTACAACCACTTTAAGGTCCTTAGTACAAACAGTAGTCATGTTCAGCATTCCAATTACAGTACATGATGTATGCTCTGCATAGTTGTTCTAGTATTTCTCAACTACTTTCAATATTCCTTTCAATTCTGATATTCAAAATATCAAAGCAGGTAAACTGATTACTTTAAATGATGAAAATTAAATGGGTGTTGAGTATAATTTCATTTACTGTAATTGTAATTTACTGCAGTTGCTACAGAACTCACTTCTACCCCTGATCTTTCGACAAACTGCCTATGCACTGTATGTGGAATTCTCATCAATCTGCTAACTTCTTTTTAAAATTCACTTATGTGCTTTGGCACAATTGCGTGGTATTGTACAGCTCACGGGGTGGTAAATAATAAATATTGTTTTCAGTGTTGTTCTATATTGTTATGCTTTACTGCATATACCTAGCAGTCTCTAGCACTACAAACTTTGGGCTCTGTTACTGTTTGTTGTGCCTTAATACTATACCTATTATGATTACAGTGACTATTATAATAAGCCTCAAGTCAAAGCAATGTGTGGGAAGTTCAGTGGCCACTTAATCAAAAAAATAACAATAATGAAAGCAGTCAAATTATCACAAACTCACAGAAAATATACAAATTTGTTTTAAATAAGACCAACTGCCAGAACAAAGCAATGGAAATGCAGTACATACACAACAAAATCCACCGGGAGATGGGTAGGGAACATCCAACAACAATGATGACATCCAGTGACACAGGTCTGGGTCTCCATGACAATCCACATCACTTGCATCACCTGAGGCAACTCAGGATGCTATCTGAAACAAAACATGTGTATATACCTATATGTCAAACATTATAAGGAGGAAGAAAACAGATCACATATACAAGTGGGCATATGATGTCTGTACTGTATATGAATAGGATACAGTTGCAGTTCTGGAACTGATTACATATTCTGCAAGCAGAAAGTCCCCATTCAATCTTCAGTGTATCTAGGTAAGACTGGGAAATAATTCTGCCTAAAATCTTGGGAAGCTTTTTAAAAACAGTATCTGAAGTGTGTGAATTTCAGTTTAACACAGAGTCAATTTACATGATCCACAACAACACATGGAAGCTGCCGTTTCATGCAGCAACAAAGTGACCAGCTCAGGCCACTCTGCATTTCTAGAAACATCATCAATTGCAATATATTCTCAAAGGCTTTCACGGCCAGGAACTGATGTTTGTTGTAGGTTTTTCGGGCTGTTTGGCCATGTTCTGAACCTTCAGAACACAGCCCGAAAAACCTACAACAACCATCATCTATTGCAGTGATTCTCAAACCTGGCTATCCCAGGTGGTCTGGGAACTGTAATTCCCAGAAGGTTTGAACACCAGCTGTGATAGCCAGGGTTTCTGGGAGTTGGAGTCCAAGAACACCTGGATTACCCAAAGTTGGGAACCACTGATCTATTGGGACCACCTGCTATATCACTGAAGACTCATAATCATTAATTTAAAAAACAGCTGAAAAATCTAGTAAAATTGTAAGATCACCATTTCCATTGTACATCTCTGATGTCTCTGTGCCAGAGTTTTTTGGGGGAGCATTTTCTTGGACTACATCTCCCAGAATCTTCCTGTCACCATAATAGCTGTGGTTCATGCTGGTTTAGAGATTTCAAGAGTTCTAATACAACAAAGGGTAGCTTTTCCAAAGCCTGCTTTGTCACATGCCTGGTTCAGTTGGGTTCCTCGAGTAGCTTTACAGATGATGGGTTGAAGCAACTCAATTAAAGCAGCAAATGTATAGGCATAATTCAACACATTTTCAATTATTTAGTTTATTAACATACTGTATTTCATGGCTGGTGGACGGGTGTCATTTAGATTTCCTGCCTACCTATTGGGTCAAAATATCTCTGTCTCTCCCAGGACATGAACAGATCCTCTTAGAGTACAACTGAACTGTGAAATGACCAATAGTAGTTTTGCCCCAAAATGAAGATTGGTAACTACCAATGTCAGTATCTTATTTCTATCTTATTTCTTGAAAGGCAGTTGGAATACTGCTAACTTTAAAGGGATGTGTTAACATTTCCAGTCATCATTAGTCTCAGCTTCCTGTTTGTTTTTTCTAGTTAACACAGGGCTGTGCTAAAATATATTGCCACCAGAACAAAGAACAAAATAGCACGCACAAATCACATTCAGTGTTTAAAAGCTAACTGGAGTAGTAGTGAGATCTTGCCATCTACTGAAGATCTTTAGGCAGCAGACTGGCTTAGAGAATGTCGAGCAGACCAGAGAATGAACAGTTGTTTCCCACAAATTTTGCTGCCATTTCCCAAAATCTGCATTGGAAACAAGGTGGAATTAAGAAAAAAAATTCTCTTACTCTGAAAAACTGTTTTGCAAGTGCAGAGCAGAAAGAACAACTCAACATGTACTATGGAAGATTTTAGCTGCTCCAAATGCTCTTGATATCACTTACTATTGGGTGAAAATTATCTATAGTATTTATTAGTTGTATTGTGATGATTCTACACTACTAAAGAATGAACCTGCTTCCTCTCTGCTAATGGGACGACCATCCCAGAAAGTTGATCAGGTGATATGTGAGCTTTTGCACTAACCAAAAACAGTGTACTTATTATGGGAGGGAAACTTTTTTATACTACAGTTCCCAGAACCTCCTACCCAGTGGGATTCATAGGGTTTTGAAACTTTTGACTCTGAGTGGTTTATTTCGCATTTGGCCTTTTTTGTTGTTGTTTAGTCATTAAGTTGTGTCCGACTCTACATGATCCCATGGACCAGAGCACGCCAGGCCCTCCTGTCTTCCACTGCCTCCCAGAGTTTGGTCAAATTCATGCTGGTAGCTTTGATGACCCTGTACAACCATCTCATCCTCTGTCGTCCCATTCTCCTCTTGCCTTCACACTTTCCCAACATCAGGGTCTTTTCCAGGGAGTCTTCTCTTCTCATGAGATGACCAAAGTATTGGAGCCTCAGCTTCAGGATCTGTCCTTCCAGTGAGCACTCAGGGTTGATTTCCTTTTGAATGGATAGGTTTGTTCTCCTTGCAGTCCAGGGGACTCTCAAGAATCTCCTCCAGCACCACAATTCAAAAGCATCAATTCTATATATTATATAGGAGAACACTCTGGTGGCCTTGCATTGTCTACCTGTTCATTTCCGCATTGATTCCAAAATATTAATGATGCCATATAAAGCCCTAAATGGTTTAGGACCTTGATACTTAGTGGAACACCTTTTCCCACATAGATCTACCCGAATCACTCGCTATAGCCAGGACAAATGGCTGAGGGAGGCCCGGAAAGAAAGAACAAGAAACCGGACCTTCTCGGCAGTGGCTCTTCACCTTTGGAACAGTCTTCCTCCAGAGATCTGCCTGGCATCCTTGCTGGGTGTTTTCAAGAGCCAACTTAAGACCTGGCTCTTCAGGCAGGCCTTCCCTCCC